CCAAATTTATATAAAAAGCAGCTTTTGCATGAATTAGCACAACACATTATGCACATGAGTTGGGAAGAAAACCTGTGATCATTACATACATTTATTTCCTGCCCTTTCCAGGCTAAGTGGAGTGATTCTACTCCTTTCACGGGGGGCACAAGGAAAACTCCTGACAGGAGAGGGCAGCCGTGCACTGGCACAGGAGGATAAAGGAGTGACAAAAACCACCTCACCATCGAAATAAACCCTGCTCCACCTCCCAGCTGCCTCCAGAGGGGAGGGACAACAGCTCCCAGGTCTCAGCCAAAAGCACTGCACATGGTGAGGTGTCCAGTGCTTGGATTTCAGATGGAAAGCTGAAGGTGTGGTTATTTCAAACAGCACTCAGAGCTAGGAATGGGTGATGGAATGTTTGGCCTTTTAAAATCTCTAAATATTTCTGTCCTTTCTGTATAACAAGAACAATTTAAAACTTGTAGACAGCATGAGACTAGATAAAAATGAGGAGAAGAAAAAGGAAATACAGGTTTATTCTGTAATTGAGACAGATCTGAGCACAACAGCAAAAGCAAGCAGAGCAAACATTGTGTTCTTTTGGCAGAATGAATTACAAAAACACTGCACCTTCTGGGAAAGCAGAAATACTTTGTTCAGCTCAGTGAGCAATTTCACCTGTGGGGTAAAACCATCCACTGCTGTTAAATGCAGTGCAGCAATAACAGCATGCACCAAGCATTCCACAGAAAGGTTGTGGAAGAGCCTGAAAATACAAATATTGCATCCCCCCAAATCCCTTCCTTGACTTCAATTTCCTGCTGAGCTTTGCTGGGGTATGGATTTAACACTTTAAGGGTCTTTTTGCCCTTGATGGAGCAGAATGTTCCTCAAGGAAGATTTTTTCTGGCTGAATGTTTAAGTTTTATGGAGTTCAGGGGGATGCACAGCCTAATAGGAATCTTCACATGCATTTGTGGTTGTTTTACTCCTTGTAGCAGTCAGTGCCTCTGTGCTATCAACAACTGCTGATCAAAGGCCTCTTGTTTATCACTTATAATACAACTGCAGGGTAGAGGATTTATTTCTCCAGGCCATTTGCAAACTATACCACCCAAATATTTGTGGAGATGAGCAGCAACAGCTCACATTTGTCCAGAACTTGAGATGTTCCCAAACATCCCAGCAATGTGTGACATTATCCCCCTCACCTGGGCAAATCTAAACTATCCCAGCTGTAAAAAAGGATGTGAAGAGAGCAATGAGGAGGTTAAGAACAATATTTTCAAAGCCATCTGGAAGTGGAATTTGAGGTTCTGGCTCCAAGACCTGAATTTACACAGAGACATCACACCCCCAAAATTTCTGCAGAGGGAAGTACCTACACCCACTGCAGCAGGAATGGTGCACAGGCCAGGGATGGGATGCAGAACAGAGGTAAAAGAATGTGTCAGGCCACAAAAAACCTGAATTCCATTCCTTTGTGGTGCTTTGGCCCTGGCTGGAGGCTGGGTGCCCACCAAAGCTGCTCTATCACCCAGCTGGGCAGGGGAGAAAATGTAACAAAAAGCTTCTGGGGAGAGTTAGAATCACCATGGACAAAATAGACTTGACTTGTGGAAATCAATTTAATTTATTTCACCTCTCTCCACAGGGCACAGGCCTGGCCAGGACCCTGCCCCAGTGTGGGGTCTCCAGGTGGATTTCTGCACCCTTGTGGGGCCCCACGGGCTGCAGGGGCACTGCTGCCTCTCCCTGGGCTGGGAATCTCAGCTCTGGTGCCTGGAGCAGCTCCTGCCTCTTCTTCCTCACTTATCCTCACTCTCCTCCTCCCTGGCTGCAACTGCTCCTGCACAGTAATTTCCTTCCCCTCTTCACTCTGATATCCCACACGTGCTGCCACCTTGGCCAGCAGTGGGTCCATCCTGGAGCCACCTGGGATGGGGGAAATTTCTGGAAACCCCTCACAGAAACCAGCTCTGTAGCCCCACAGTACCAAAACCTGGCCATGCCAAAGCCAACACAGCCTGAATTCCCAGCTCTCCCTTCCCCACAGCCACTGGTTCCCTGGAAACCTCAACATTTTCTGCTGAAAACAAACACAAGTTTAAGATTTTTAGGGCCACAGAAGAAATAACAGAGGGTAAAGTCTTGGAGGAGATGGCAGCTTGAGTTTCTGCCCCCAGCAAAATTGCAGAGCTGTTTTGAGCAGTAATGGATATAAAATCACAATCCTGGGAGTGGAGAATGATTCCAGCCAGGTGCCCACCAGGCCAGGGATCCACAAAGGGTTAAAAATCACCTCCCAGCTTCTGCAAAACAGGGGTGAAAACCTTTCCAAAAATATTGCTTTCCACACAAGCAGTAGGTCCAGTCTGGCTCTCTGCAGCACTAAAACAACTTTTCAGAGTTGTCAGCAAGAGGACACATCTATCTGAAAGTTGTTTAAAGCCCAATTTATCTTGGTGACTGACGGATGCTCTCTCCTGATAAAAGTTGTATAATAATCTTGGCATTTCAAATTTAGTCTCCTTCAGCAGCTCCATTACAAGTTGTTCAATTTACAACTCACAAAGAGATCCTTGCTTTCCCAACAGCTGCTGCCACAAGGTCGAGTTGGCACCTAAAAAGCAAACTGTGCTCTTTTCTGCTCTCTATAAACACACACAGCCTCACACTCACACAAAATATCACCAACTGTCCCCACAGACAGACTGGCAGCTTTGCTGCTGCTGCCCAAGGCAATGTGGAAATAAAACTGCTCTCCTTGAGCTGCAGAGTGCTGCTGCTGCAGCAGGGAAAAAGGGGCTTGGGGTAAAGTGGATGAAAACAGAGAATGAGGTGGAATTTTCAGGGATGAAAACAGACTGAGGTGGAATTTTCGGGGATGAAAACAGAGAGTGAGGTGGAATTTTCACACTTCCATTTCTGTGCCTCACATCCCTCCTTCACAAGCTGCTGGTACCTCCCCACCCACATTTTTGGTGAATTTTGGTCTGCTTTGGAGTTTTTACCTCGATATTCTGAGCTGCTTATGCACTCCCTTGAATATTTTGGAAGTGAGAAAACACAAATGAAAACCACTGTGCTCAGCCTGCCTGCTCAATTGCTTTGCCCAGTAACCCATTGCTTCTGGACTTCTTTACATATTTGAAAGAAAACTGATTTTCTGTTTTCCTGATGTTGGGTAAATATAATAATAAATAAATAAATAAATAAATAAATAAAAATAAAGCTGGTGTCATGTAAAAGACAGCCCTAAACTGTATTAATATAGAAATATTTAATTTCTTCAGATTGCTGGTTTTTGGCAAGTATCACCTAATCTCCAGATTCTTACAATGGCATTATTTTATCATCTTCCTTTGGTCATTAATGATTTTCTCATTTCTCTGAGTTTGTCTCGTTCAAGACAGAAACTGGTTTGAGGACCTGCAAACCCCTGAGAAGAGTCCAGAATGTTTCTGTAAACCAGAACAAGTTGTGCAGACAAACAGCCACCTGCACTGACACATGTAACATGTTTATTTATACACAGTCAACCTCTGGATTCTGCTTTGGCTCAACTACAGCTCTAAGACTTTAATTTGTAAATGCATTTTAATGAAGAGTCTCACTCTTGTTTACTCAGTGCCATAGGAGGGGACTGTGCCAATGTTTGTCAGAGGGACAGTGACCCCCATGAAGGTCCAGAGAAGGGCAGCACATCTGGATTGACCAAAACAAGGTCACCAGAGCTGATCTGTGGCAGCTCACAGCATAATAAAGTTCAGTGTTTAAAAACAATGAAAAGGCAGGTGAAACACACACATGTAAAAACACACATTTAGGAAAGGAAGTCACAGGTGTTAACACAGCTTCAAGGGGAGTTGAACAAAACCACTGGGCATCATTAACTACACAAACACATCTAATTCAGGAAATTCCTGAAATAAAAATACTTAAAGATCATGAGAGCAAAGTATCCCAGAATCTCACCCTGCTCTCCTGCTCTTCTTCAGGCATATGCACACAGTTCCTGCTGGAGCCAGGATGCTGGCAGAGAGGATCTTTAGTAAAACCCATAATTATCATTTTTATAAAATGCCAAAATGTGCTCTATTAACAGATATTTAGGAGCATTGAGTGGTTTGGGTTGGACTTAGGGATCACCCAGTTCCACCCCCCTGCCATGGGCAGGGTCCCACCCCACCAGACCAGAATTTATTCTGATTTAGTTTTCTCATGTCTTTTGGTAACCTTTGTCAGGATCCTTCTATCACGAGCTTTTTAGTTTTATTTGCAGAAAGTAGTGAATTTAAAAAAAAGGGAAGATCTCTGATGAAAGAACAGGGAACATAGAGCAGGACAGCCATGGAAAAGGGGTTTGATGAAAGAAGGATGAGAGCACAGAGGAACTGAGCAGGGGGAAGGGGAGAAAAGGAGAGAACAGCACTGGATGTGACATTCCAAACAGGCTGGAAAATGCTGCCATTCACACTGATATCACAGCTTTGCAATTATCAGCTTTTCCAGCTGTGAAAGCGTCTGATTAGGTTTTATATATCTGGGGGTCTATAAATATATCTTGACTTTTTTTTTTTTAAACAGAGATTGTGCTGTTTGCTTTTGATATATTTAAAAGTCAGGTGTAAGAAGGGAAGCAGATGTGCTTGTTTTCAAAACTGAAAGTCATAAAAAAGCATATAAAGACTTTACTCTGGCTGATCCACAGGAAGGAAATAGTAATATTTCAGCTGGGAACAATATCCACATAGCCTGTTGGCAGCCAAGTGACATACTTAGCAAACCAAGAGCAGCAAGTGATTAAATCTCATTATACCTGTTCCATTCCAAAACATTTTAGGTACAACTTGTGTCTCTCCAAGCACTTACTGTATTAATGACACCAAGAGCACATCGTAAAATCTAAACAGGTAGTTTTATGCCAGGAGCTATAGCTGGACAACTTATTCAATTCCAGGAATCTCAGAATTATTTCCCACCCAAAGCCATGAATAAGATGATAAAACAGGCAGGAGATTTCTGTCAGTGACCTACCCAGGTTGCTGCAGAACTCTCCCACCATTCCATCGGGGTTGGCAGTGGGGATCTGGGTCAGCCCTGTCAGGATGAGAACGTCGCTGTTCTTAAGGGAAGCCTGGTCCATGGGCTGGAACAGAGCACAGGGAAATAAAATCAGGAATGGCAGAGTTCCTCCAGGCAGGACATGATGGATACAGTCCCCAAACATTTTACACCTCACACTCCTCCATCTGTGGAAAACTAACTTGTTTTATTAAAGCAGAATGAAACTGCAAACCCATTTCTCTGCATTAGCAAACAGAGAGTAGATATTCAGAAATTTGATATTAGTGTGACACTAAAAAACATATTCTTGACACTGAAAATGTAGCATGATCCAATCTTGATAAGGTAAAATCCAATTGTCTGTCTGCAGATGGTGAAAAGGTAACTTTGAGCCTCACTCTGGGTTGGGATGTCCTTCCCACAGCTACTGATTAAGCAAAAGTGGGCAACTGCTTGGCAGCTGTGTGGTACCTTATGGTTATTTACTCTCAATAAACAACGCTCTGCAGTCTCACCAATCAGGAAAGATTTCTGCCAGAAGAGACAGATGAAGAGATTTCCTCTGCTGAGCCCCCAAGACCACTGTAAGGTCAATTCCCCTGCTCACAGCTCCCAGAGCCATTCTGAAGCAGTTGAGAAGGACCCTGCTCTGTTAAACATGCAGGGGAATTTCATATTAACTCTGACAGGAGTTGAAACTGTGCACCCCCTTGTAGGATCAGACCTGACACGTGAGATTTATCACAATCTTTGACTCTCTCCAGTGTGTCCATGAAAATGAAATGCCAATAATGTAATAAAAAATAATATGGAATCTGCCTGTGATAATGTACATAATGATTATATTAGATCCCCATAATTTCAGATGCCATTGCACTGAGAGGGCCTGCATTGATTTTTGTGGGTTAATGTAAAGAATATGTCTTAAAAGGCTTTTAGTGACATGTCTGAACCTGTGCTGTCAACTCCTGTTCTCCACTTCAGTGGCAACGGTGTCAATCCAGCCTCAGGAGAGGGGGAGACAAAATTTCAATGGAAACCATCTGCCAGCAGAACAGGGAACAGTCAGTGGTGCCAGGCCTAAATCCCAATTCACTGCAAAAGCAGCTCTGGATATGTTCAAAGTACATCCCATTTTAAAACAAAATGCAGTGACTTTTTCACACCCTGCTAAAAAAAATGGGAATTTCAACGATGAACTTCTCATCATGATCATATGGACAGACAAACAACTTTTCACTCCCTGAGGAAGAAATGATTTGTTGCTCACAATTCTGACTGTGTGCCACTTGAGATACTGTTATCATTACATATTGTCTGTCAAACATCAAAGAGATGGTGAAGTTGGTTGGAAGCTCCCAAAAGCCACACACAGAAACATCAGATTGCAGCAGCCTGTGCTGGTGCTCCCAGGGATTAACCCCAGGACAAAAACTATCCATTGTCCTCAAAAAGCATCTGGAAGCAAATGCAAGACAATGATGATATGGGGTAACATCTGTGATGTGGTAAATAACAAGGAAAGTACAAACTGAATGGGATTTTAACTATTTGTTAAATATTTCCTTTTAAAGATGTGCCCATGAGCAGTTCACTCACACCCTTCTCTGCCACTGGGACTTAATTTCCTTAAAACCTGAGATTTTACCAGAAGCTTCCAGAGAAATGTTCACCTTTGGAAAATGATGAAGTCTGACCTGATAAACTGAATCTCTTTTCATGTCCATGAGGAGAAAACATTCTCAGCTACCAAATTACTTCGTACAGGGCAAAGTTTCTCCTCACAGAAATACTGCATTCACACATTATCAAATCCTGCTGCTCCTTCTCCAGGAGGGGATGAGAGCACAGCCCAGGATGGAATGGGGCTGATGAGAAACAGGGATTTAGAGGCTCTGATACATTTTGTGCACCTAAGGATGGGCACACTATTAAGGATCATTTATCCACTGTAGTTTCTCAGCTGAGAACAAGCTTTTAAGTGAGGGATGCTCAGAAGCAAAGCTCTCCAGCAGACACCCACCTTGGGGGAAATCACTTAGTGATCAAAAACCTGACACATCTTCTAAATTATTTTTAAATACCTCCTGCAATAATGCTTTTAACTATTTTGACAACTTCTGAAGCGCACGGCACAGCAAACTTCAAGCCTTTCTTTGCAGTAAGAATTTATGGATCTAGAGAGAATTAATTTACTGGAAATTACATCTACAGCACTATAAAGACTTTGCCCTTAGCAGAGCAGGGTGGAAAAGTTGGCAGCCACTGAGCTATCATTCCTCCTAAGGAAGGATGTTTCAGAAGTGATATAAAGCAGTCTGTGAACTGTCTGTGAAGATTCTTCAGTCAAATATGGATTTTTTTTTTTAAAGTCACTAATGCTCTTTTGTTTAACTCTATTGAAAATTTCCTCTTTAGAGTGAAAGACAATTCCACAATTTTAAGTGAACATCAAATCAGGAATAACAAAGAATTTTAGTTATCTTTCCCTCATAACTATTGATACCTGTCATTTGTCAGGGTATGTCTTATCAATGCCCATTAAGTCCAGGCACTGATAACACAGTTGCCTTAGAGTGGCTTCTACCTTAAACCTGATCCCAGCTGGAATAACCCCTTGTTTTGGAGCAAAAGTTCCTCCTAAAGACTAAGGAAAGCCAGGGGCTGTACCTGAGGGTGTGTTGTAAGCAGGGAAGATCCTGAAACATAAGAAACCTTTTCATAGTGTGACTGGATAATCCAATTGGAGCTCCCAAGAGCGTAGCCCGAGCTCAGAGGGGTGACCTGCACAGCACCAAACAGCTCCTGAAACACACAGGGAGAGACATGAACTTGAGAGAGGCCCAGAAGAAATCAGGACAGGTCATTTTGTCATCAGTGGTAGGAATTTCAAAAGCAGTTCTGCTGCTCAAAGTCTTTGTGAAGCTGTGCTGCTGAGAATGACACCTGCTGGTTTTACCCACCCATGTCTGGCAGGACACAAGCTCTGAAAAAAGCTTTTCCTGAGGCAGGGACTCCATAAAGTCTCTCTTCCATGAGAATTTTATGGCATCTGAGTTCACACTGAACAATACCTCAAAATGAAGGAATCAATCTTGATCCTTGATCTTGATCTTCTGCTTGACTCTGCTGTATTGAGGAAGTTTGTGGGAGCTTTGCATCTTTGAAGATTCTATTCTCCTTTAGTCAAATTAAATTGGTATTGGCCAGCAGGAGAGAAGGAAGGACAAGTACTTCTATATTGATATAAAAACTCTGCTTGGGTTGCAAATTTTACTGTGGAAAACAAACTTAACCTCAAACTTTCTAGCTTTCTAACTTTATTTCTTTTCAAATGCTACCTGCTTGTAATTTAGCAACAACACCCTGCAAACTCAATCCACATTTTAGTTTCAGTGTAAGCAACTTGACAGTTGCCTCCTTTCCAGGTGTCATTAGGAATTGTATTCCTTCATCTGCACCCAGGAATGTGGAATACTTGTTTGGAGAAAGGAAAATAAACCTCCCTAATGTGATCTGCCTCCTGGTTACTGAATAATAGAACAAGCATCTGATTCATGCAATACAATGATTTTTCCAGTATTTCAATACATATTTGGATGTCTTGAAAAACAAGGCAGGGTGCCTTCATTCCTAAGAGTGTGCAAGCCAAGGGTCTAAAATTTGATTATTTGAAAAGTTAGTTTTGGGAAGAAAAAAATATAGTTTTTTTTTCCCCAGTAACTACAAAAGAATGATTGGCTGAGATACACACATCTAAAATTAAGGGAGATGCATCCACACTGTGAGGACAGTCAAAAATTAACTGAAACAATCCATGGATAATGAGGAGTCACAACTTACTTTAACCCATATTTTTATTTTTTAAGGCCTTTGAGCAGCAAAACCAGGTATCACAGCCCAAACAAGAGCAGGGATCATGGCACACATGCTGCCAACAATCCACATGAGATCTGCAGACTATGGAACTGTGGGTTCAGTTCATTCTGGAAACCACACTGGATTATAGTCAACAGCATTACATTCAATAACTGTTAGCTGGAAGCCCTGGGAAAGGAGTTTCTGAAGTTCACATTGAACCATTAGGTTTTGTTTACAGTCCCTAATTTACAGTATGAAACAAAGTGGAGGCTAAAGCACTCTAAAGATTCCCAGAAGTGAGATTGGGGAGCTGGGAAGGGGATGTGGCTTAGAGACAGAGAGGATACATTCACTCCCTGCATCCTCCCAGCTCTCAGCGGGCCAGCCATCAGCTCCAAATTTGAGGGCACGCCGCCTTAAAATTGGCCTCCCCAAGGAAGAGAAGAAACAAATGGATATTCCCTGATTTCACCAAACAAGAGCCCTTCCTGGGAGGCAGACTGAGGGGCAGTCTGTGTAATCCTGTCTTGCCTGCCTGTGCCAGAGTAACTAGATCCAACCAACACAGGATTTAGAGGGGAAAAGCTGGGGATCAGTTGTTGGTGTTGCCTTGAGAAGTTTTGGTGTTGTCCTGAGGAGTTTTGGTGTTGCCCTGAGGAGTTTTGGTGTTGCCCTGAGGGCAGCTGTCCAGGTACTCACGATTTTCTGGGAGTAGCCCACCAGCTGGATCTTGCTGAGGGCTGCGTTCACCTCAGGCATGGTGTAGCACTTCCTCCACATGGACACCTCCACTGCATCCTTCAGCGGGGCTGGCAGCAACCTGTGAACAACAGTGGGAGGTTCTGTGGGGATCCAGAACAGCAGCTGGTGCTGGACCAGCTTCTACAACCATTTACATTCTCCACATCTTTCATTTTACCCTTTTAAATTTTTATTTTCAGTGTGCCTGGTGCTTCAAAGTGAGGAGTAAAGCCACACTTCCCAATCTCTTTGTTGCTGTTCTGTCCAGCCCTTGCATCAAAGAAGTAGCTGTGATCAAGGTGTTACCACAACTCTTGGAGTATTTTCATCCCTGATGAAAAGTGCTGGCTGATTTGAGATGTCAACATGAAATGCACCTCCAGCACTAGGATCTCAGATCAGTGTCCATTTTTTATATCATAATAATCTGAAAAATTCCCTAATAATCTGAAACAATCTGGTGATTAAAGTACAGCTACCAGACCACGAGCAGGGATGGCCCTGCCCTGATTTCTGCCACTGGCCTCTTCCAAGAGCACATGTCCCTGCAGCCCAGCTCAGCTTCCCTGCCTTCAACCCCACTTCCCTCCCGAGTGCCCTGGCAGGGACACACGAGCTGACACTGCAGAGCTCTTTGAAATCCCCTCCACGGAAGTATTTAAGATGTTTTACACCAAAGTGAGATCCATCCATTCTGCTCCTCACAGACACTGCAAGTCAGCTGGCCGGCGTTGTCAAGGGAAGAAGTGAACTATAATGTCACAGGCTGGAAGAGGGATGGCTAACTTCTGGGAAATAAATCTTCCTCAGCAACATGAACTGAGGCAGGAAGCAGAACAGCTGCCAAATGCATAAGAAGAATAGGATTTTTTTTTTTTTGTATATTAAACCAATGCTAAATCAAAGGCTAATTCAAACCAATTTCCAAAGATTTATGGAAATTGGTCAAGTTTCTTTGATCAATTTGTTTAAAGGAATTTAATTTATTGTTATATCTACTAGGTCGGTGAACTCCTCCATAATTTAAGATACTGAAGAAAGGATTAAAGACAGCTCTTGCCAAGACCATAGCACAGGTCCAGAACGATAACTGCAATTCCAGCACACGCTGGCTGAAAGCACCCTGTGCTTCAGGAAACAAACAAAGCCTTCAAGGTCTTTTTTGGGAAGTCGTAAGCAACAAAAGGAGACACAATGTGGAGAGTTGTCCACCACTGCACTGAAGCAAATTGCCTGTAAAAGCCTTTAACCTACCATAAGAAGCATTTAGTGTTGGAGGCTTTCAGGAGCTTCTCTTCTGGGAAGAGGAAAATGTTTCTCCAGGTAATGGAGAAAGTGGGGAATTGTCCTTGGTGACTGAAGGAAGTTTCTCTTAGCCTTGACTGTGGCTACACTGAAAATACTCTGATCCCTGGCAGAGACCAGGGGCACCAGTCTCCAGTGGCTTCATGAAGCTGAGTGACAACGAGGTGCTGGTCCCTCAGGTGCATTCAGTCTGTCATCTTACTTCTAAAATTCCCACAGAGTTACCAGAGGTTGTTTTGTGGTCTGGAGTAAATCTACTGCCACCATGGCAACATCCTGTTAGAGATCACCTCACAACAACCAGATGTGTGAGGGCAGCTCTGGGACTGCCATAAATGGGGAGGTACCACCAATCCACATGGTTGAGGATACAAAATTCACCCTTTAAAAACTCAGGGATTTGTATTTTTCCCTGGGATCTGCATGGAGACAGCCCCTTCTGGTCAATGCAAAGGGTGGCATTTAATATATGATGTAAAATCCCAGAATTGTTTGGAGGGAGAGGAAGATGGCAGCACCAAACCACATCAGGCCACGGTCTCTCTCTGCCCTGCTCAGCCTCAGGAAACAGCCTGTTGCAAACACTTTAAAAGATATGGGAAACCATCAAAAAAGAAATCAAGAAATCAACAAGAAAAGTGCTTTTCACAAGGCAAACTTCCTCTTTAGCCCCTGAATCCCACTCAGTGTGAAAGATATCCTGGCTGACATCTCCAGAGCTTCCACGAGACTGCTCACTTGAAATAAAAGCCAGTGGCAATAAAACAGGCTAAGCAATTAGTTCAGACTGGATCTGATAATGGAAAAATGTAAACCACTATAATGAACTTATTATATTTTATACAGTATTTGCATTTAAAATGCTCCAGTGCTTTATCTAATGAAGATGATAATACTTTGTGTTTTATACTAACTGTTTGGAGGAGAACTAGCTGAACTGTAAAGCAGTAATGGGGATTGATCAGCCTGAGAAATTAAAAGTTAGACTCAGAAGTAATAAGTATTCTGTTCTAGCAACAGCCAAGTAGGAAAAAAAAAATCCCAATTCATCAAGATCACATTTTCTTAAGTAACGGATGTCAGTCCAAGGCTGCATGTGCCATTAGCCAGGTGCTAATTTGGGGATCAGTTGATGTTTTGCTCTAATAATCAGTTCCATTCACGCCTGCGTGACACTTGTCACCAGGCAGCTCAAAACACTTTGCAAACATTAATTAAAGTCCCCGGGTGCCCTCTGTGCTGGATGGGAGCTGCTTTACAGATGCACACAGAGGTGAAGGGGGAAGCTCAGGGCACAGGTGGGGCAGAGGTGGAGAGGGAGGTCACATTTGTCCCCTTGTTCCAGCTCAAAGATAACACTGGTTCATACCAGCAGAGTTTATTATACACAAATTTATGTTATTAAACTGATGTTTATAGCTTCCACCTCCCTGCTACCCCTTTAAAATGGAACTATGAATTTTGGGGGACATGCCCAGCAATAGGAGAGAGGAACATGTATTTTAAGTACCACTTCAAGGAAAAAAAAGGCTCCAGTCTTCTACAGCAGCTGAATCAGAACAAAAATTCCCTCTCTGTGTTCTCCTCTGGAATAATCAGCAGCATGCAAAGTGCCAGGCAGCACTTTTCCTAAAATACGACCACCAGCAAAGTGACATTATATGAGCTGCAAGATATATGATTCTCCTTTAAAGCATGCATACAAAACACGCCTGCTGTGACAGGAATAATGGCTCCAGTCCTCCCTACCCACACTCTGGGTGTCAGCAGTGGCTCTGGGCAGGCGAGTGAACCCCAAAATTTAAAAAAAAAAAAAAACACTATTCTAAAACTCCTCCTGAACTTCAGTGTATTTGGTTTTGCTTTACGTCTGACTTAACATCTCCTTGTCTTCTTGAGAAGAGTGAGAGTTACAATGTAAAAACTGCTCCTAAATTCAGCAGGGGAACACAATATGCAGCTAAAACCGTGGTAATTTGGATTTTTAATTTTTGCTTTGTGATATTGGGAAATATCAAGGCAATTCTTCTAATGTAAGAAATAATTCACTTTTAGGAAACTTCTAAATCAAGCCATCTTAAGATTTAGGAGTATAAAAAGAGAGATCAATTAAAAATGCACAAAGCAGCTTTCAAAAATAACTTTTTAATCAACCAACCCTATCTTTAAAATGTGCTAAAAACAAAACTGTCTCCTCAAGGAACATGATGTGCACCTGAAATTGTTTTTATTCCCAAGAAAGCATCATCTACAATTATTAAACTGTATGGATAATTTTTAGATTCCATAGGCTTTCATAACTTTGAGCATTTTGTTCTGATGTATAGCTGGAATAATGGACATGGTGCTGCAAAATAAGCTTTTTTATTCAGATTTTAATTTGATTTTAAGCTTTGTAGAGCCAAAAATCACACCTCTGCTGTTCAGGTGTAAAGATGGAAAGAAAGGTAACACCAGTGACCTCCAACAGCTGTGTCTTGACTTTCTTAGTATGTCAGCAAACATAAATGAAAATACCATTTAAATTTAAATTATTCCAATGCAGTATCATTAAATTTAAATAGTCTCCTCATTTCAACAACTTTTTATGATGTTACTACCAAAATCTGATGGTTTTATCTACCATCATGGAGCTGAACTGTGTGAGGGGAGATCAGGGGAAGCTTTGCTCTTTCCAAGTCTTTCTCCAAGAAACAAATTTGTGAGGTTGGAAAACCAATATGCAGAAATGATTAAAGAAATAATCGACCCAAGGAGTCACAGCAGCAAATCTCAAGTGGTGGGAGCTGAGCCATCCTCACAGTGACTCCCACACTTTGGAGCTTTGAATTGCCTTTCCTGGGGCTCCTTCCTTACCTCTGCACCTCCTTGTTCTTCCACATGGAGGCAGACTGAGCCTTTGGCACGCGTTCAATGGAATTCACCAGCTCTTCCATCAGGAGCCTGAAAAAATCAAACCTAAATTAGCGCTGCCTCCTCTCACACAGGAGAGAACTTTGGCCCAAATCTTTCCAAAATACCACAGAAGTTGTAACACTCTGAGGGGCTCTTCCCACAGAGGCCATGACCAGCACTGCCCCTGTTTATCCAAGGAGTGTTTCCAATTCCATCTGCTTGCAACAGAGGAGGATTTGGCCCACTGGGTTATGGGCTATTTGGAAAATGCAAGATAATTTCATTACTGACTGCTTGTGATAAGTAATGAGACAAAACACACAACAAAACCTCCTCAGCTGCTGCCTGTCTGTCACTTAGGGAAACCAAGCATGCTGTCAGAGCGAGCTCTCCTCATCTGCCAACGCAGATTTGAGACAGGAAAAGATGTCAAGCCTTGGAAATTGTCACTGCAGATTTCCCTGCCCAAAACCAAACAGCATTTGTGATTGTGTGCAGGCTTTCCCTTGAAGTCTGGAGCACAGGGACAGCATCTGGAATGACTTGGGGTGGGGAGAACCACACCAGTGCACTCTCCCACAAGGCTGTGCTTGTTATCTCCAGCTCTGGAGCAGTAAAACCAGAGGTTTACTACTCGTTCCTATTTACACAATTCCTTTCACCTACAAGGGCCTTCAGTTTCTGTTTGCTTTCACACAATGGGGGAATTACTCTGGCATGGGAAGTTTGCACAGGACCTTCAGTGGACAAAGATTCCTGCCCTGAAGTGCTTCCAGAGTAGTCCAGATAGGAGGGCCTAATCTGGCTCCTAATTACTGAATGTAGCAGCTCTGCAGGAGAGAGGAACAGAGCTCAGTTCCAGTTAGGCCTCACCTGCGGCATTTGGTGTTGACCCATCCAATCAACAAGACAATTTAGTAAAAATAAACTGGCAGGTTTGATGACTGTTCTGGTTTTGACTGCACTGTCAGATCTTTTTCTACCTCAGTCTCCTATTTCTGCCATTTCTCTCAGTGCTTCTCTCTGGAGTTCAGAGCTCACATAGCTCAGCTGTCATTTGAGATGATGTCAGCCTGAATTCCTTTCTGTGGAGGGGAGGAAGGTGTGATTCTATGGAATCATAAAATCCTAGAATGGTTTGGGTTGGAAGGGACCTTGAGGATCATTTAGTTCCAACCCCTGCCATGTGCAGGGACACCTTCCACTGGCCCTGGAGGCTCTAAGTCCTGTCCAACCTGGTCTTGAACACTACCAGGGATGGGCAGCCACAGCTTCTGTGGGGAACAAGTCCATTTTCTGATTGGGAAGTCTCCTTTTGGTGAAGGGGAACAGAGAAGAGCAAGAGAGCTCTTTGATCCACAGTTTTTGAAGGTCTGAGGTTCCCTATGTGGCAATTACTGAGGCGTCTCAGCCCACTCAAATTCCACTGGCCCACATCTATGGCCTGGACTCAACACAAAGCACCTGCTGGAAATGATGAGGGTTCCAGAGGTTGGGAAACATGGAGTTAACACATTTACAGCACTAAGGGCTTGGCTGGTGTTCAGCTCCTGCCTGAAAGCCTCTTTGGAACATTAGACACCACTCCTCTCCCACATTGTCCTTTACACCTTCTCCTCAGCAGTGATGAAAGAGGAGCAGAGAATCTGAAGGGGTTTTTTACCTGCCAATTTGAACAGTGGGCTCGGTGGCATAAACTGTTCCAGTGAATCCTGTGTACTCTGTGATGTAGGGCAGGGCCATCATGCAGTGATAGTTGGAGATCAAGATCACATCCACTGTGGAGAGGTCAAGCAGTTCAGTCTGAAAACAAGAGCAGAGATAAGCAACCTGTAACCCTTTCATGCAGTTTAATAAATGGCAGAAAAACTTCTCCTCTTTTTTTAAACTTTATTGCAGGAATGTAACTGGTTTATAAAAGCATCTCTCAGCTGTGGCAAAGATTAATGTTGCCTCTAAATTAACAAGAATTATTTCAAAAGCCCCCTAAAATTATTCCATTCTCCAACCTGGAAAGGAAATAATGTCCTGGGCTTTTTCTGTTTTTCAGGTGATGAAATGGCTGCTGCTATGAGATCCATGATTATTATTTTTATCAAATAAAATAATTGATGCATGCACCTACTTAAGAAGGGACACCAAAATTTCTGCATGAGTGATTTAGGGTGTTTCATTTTTTTATGCAGCACATCCTACTGTACCCCAAGGAAAAGATGAATGAAGACTGTATTTATTCATTTGCTTAAAAATAATCCTCATATTTTCCCAAAGTAAATGTTTGGCATCTTTCTCATTCACATTTTCTACAGCAGGAGATGAAGCCCATTCACAGGATACAACAAAATGGATGGGTGGGCTCAATTAGTTTTGATGTGACAGTTTAGACAAGAGTTCTGAGAGTGAAAGAAGATTTCACACATTGTTAAAAGAATTTTAATTAGAAATATTTACTGGTAATGCTATAACACAAATGGTGTCAAGTCAGAAATTTACAAGATTACTGACCTCTAACTGAGTTATTATAGAGCAGCTAATGGCATTCAACACTCATCAAGCACATATTATCTGATTACAAGGCTTGGTCCAGCAATTTGAATAAAAAAGGCAAGAAAGTAGGTCACTCTGCTTTGCAGAGGGCTGACACAGGGCTCTGGTGACAAGCTGCTTAACTCCTCCTAAGCACTCATGGTTTCAATCCATGATCAGCAATGATCTCTGAGCTGAGAACAGGAGCTGAAACATCACCCTCAGCTCCATGACAGGGAACCTTTTCTCTTCCTGGGCTTCCAGGCAGGAACACATCCCTGCAAGGTATCAAAGCATCTGCTGATGCCTGCTCCTGCCAGAGCTTGGATTGTCCACACCTTGGTTTGGACAGATTTCAGCTGTGTCCAGACTGTACAGGATCAGATTCTGGACTGGTTTGGGTGAGAAATTCCTTAAAGACCAACCTGTTCCATCCAGGTTAGGAACCCTTAAAGACCAACCTGTTCCACCCTTCCACTATCCCAGGGTGCTCCAAGCCTCGTCCAGCCTGGCCTTGGACACTGCCAGGGATCCAGGGGCAGCCACAGCTGCTCTGGGCACCCTGTGCCAGGGCCTCTCCACCCTCACAGGGAACAATTCCTTCCCAAATCCCATCTATCCCTGCCCTCTGGCAGTGTGCAGCCATTCCCTGTGTCCTGTCCCTCCATCCCTTGTCCCCAGTCCCTCTCCAGCTCTCCTGGAGCCCCTTTTAGGCCCTGGAAGGGGCTCTGAGCTCTCCCTGGATCCTTCTCCTCTCCAGGTGAGCACCCCCAGCTCCCCCAGCCTGGCTCCAGAGCAGAGGGGCTCCAGCCCTGAGCTGAATCCCAGCCCAGCAGAGCCATCAGGAGGATGCACAGCAGCACTTTCCAACCTCAAGCATGCCCCATCTCAGCACCCTAGAAGCATTTACTGATAGCATGAAAAGGGTGTCAAAACCAAAACAAAGTGAAATCTTCCCTGGGGCTTGCAGCGATTTCACTAAAGTGCCTTTGAGCTGAAGAGGCTTAAAAATGTTTCTTGCATGTGAAGTGAGAGAGCAGAAAGGTGCCAAGCACAGAGAGGGCTGCACCCTGCACTCTGACACGTGTGAGAGTACTCTGCTGCTGAGACAGCCTCATCTCACCTTGTGGCTGCTGGATTAGACCCAAATCTTGGCTTGCTCTGGCAGTGGTGCTCTGGAAGGGATACAGAGATTCTCTGGCTAACTGCTGCTGCAGACAAGTTTCTTCAAAAGAAGTGGCATGGAGGGAGATAAAGTAAAAGCCTCTTTCACACAAGCTCCCTCCCTCTTATCCTGTGTTGCCAAACAGCAGCAGCATTTCCACTCTGTTGTCAGCTGGCCGTGACTCCTGAACCTCCTGCAGACAGGGGAGCTCAAGGTGTGAGCTGGGGGTCACAGCAGATCTCTTCCCAGGGTTCATGGAGGAGATGTGGCATCTGCTGGGAATTTTGGGAAACATCTGAGAGGCCAATTTTAAAGTTCCTGCAATGGTGATGTGCAGTTGGTTGTCATGTTCTGGTTGTAGGATGGGCTGCCTGGAAGCAGCTTTGTGAGTGGTAACAGGAGTAAGATGAAGCAGTGACTCCCTGTCTGTCATATTCACAGCTACACATGTGGGTATTTTCCAGCCCAAAGTAGTCAGAAAGTCTGTCTGAAGCATCCTAAACTCCAGCAGATAATCATTCCAAAGAGAATCCAGCACATAAACCCTGTCCTTCCCAAGATCTGGGCCATAATGGCACTTTCTACACACAAATGCTTCCCACATCCCTCAGTTTCACAGAACAGTAACCAAAAGAAGAACCCAGAATTCACAAAACCCCAGAATTATTAGGGTTTTGGGCTGGTCTTTTTTTGTTTCATTGGATTATGACAATTCCAGCTGAGTTGGAATGGTTGTAATCTGTTGGAACCACTTGCCAAAGCCAGTTCCAGAGCTGCCAACTTGTTGGGAAGAATCAAGATGACAAGAGTGATGCCAGAGGTGAGTTCCATGGGATCCACACATGGGAACAATATTGCCAGAACCTCAGCAGGCTGACAGCAACCTTCCAGGAGTGTTTTGTGCTTCCTGCAAGGCTTTTTTTGTGTTTTATGTTTTCTGCAAGGTCAGGCAGAAAGAAAAAAAATTCTGCCCACTGAACACACTGAGGAAAGGAACACTATTCCCATGCTGCTCTCCATTATTTATCCCCACCTCTCTCTGCTCAGCTTTTTATATTTTTATTTCTCCTACAGCACTCCCCATATCCACTGGGTGATTCCAGGTAATCCAAACATCTTCAATGGTCTTGCTTGCTTGTTCTAAATCCAGAAATTCCAGTAAAAACCAGCTTGAGCAGCCACTTGCACGTGGATATGAAGACCCAGCTCTTCCCTCAAAGAGGCTGTAAAAGTTTTTAACCTGAAAATGCTGCTGGCAGAAGAGCAGCCCAGCAGAATCCAACCTGGCCTAACCACAGCTGGCTGCCCAGGGATGTCCTGCATCTGTGGTTAGAGACAAGCAGCTTTCCTCATCTTCATGCCCTGCCCTCATCTAGATCAGCACATGGATCCTGTCAGCCAGCCCAGCTCAGTCTGGCTGTCTTTGAAAAGCCACAAAAAGGGACAGTTCAGTCTTATTCTTGTGTCAGGTTATTTGTTCAGTCTTATTCTTGTGTCAGGTTATTTGTTTAAGGAGACCTTCCATGTCTCCAAAAGGGTTGTTTCCATCCTTTTTCCAGTGTCATAGAACTTGAAAGCACCTTAACAACACAGAGTTTTAGCAGTGTTATTTACTGAGTATTAATAAATTAGCAGGAACCTGGTAATAATAATTTCACAGGTTTCTCCCATGTGATTGAATGGAGTCAGATTTTTCAGTAAGGCTTTGAACAGACTCACCTCTGGCAAGCAGAACTCAGGCACAGAGTCTACAAACACATGGCCAGAGCACTCCTTCAGCTCCTGTAAAAAACCACACCAACAGAGGAGACACAAAAATGCAACACAGTGTTATCCAAGGCAACACATTTTGGATTTTCCAGACACTTTCTTTATCACAGGTAATTTCCAGCCCATTACTACAGGACATTTATTCCCCTTCTAGACATGATTTGGAGCAGGCAGATCTGCTAAAATTGCTTTCATGGCAGATGAGGCTGCTTGGTACCTGAAGGGATCAAATCCCCCTTGGGAAGGACAGAGAGAGCACTCTGGGAGGTAAAGAGCCCTGGTTCCAAATAACATCCAACCTCTTCTGGCTTACTAGAACCTAAATACAATTTATAAAACCTATCTCAGAGTATTTGATGGCACAACTTTTGGGGATCTAATTTCCACATGGCACATTTTGTTAAACTCTAGCCCCTATTTTCTTCCTCTTTTTTAAGGCTGACATCAAAAACTTTTGTCACATGAGAAGTCACATTCTTCAGGGTGGAACAAAAACATTCTCAACTCTATCACAGCACAACTCACAGGCTCCCTACCACCCACCCTGCCTTCTCTCCTGTCCCACAGCAAGTGGGCTCAGCCAGCTTCAGAGTGACAGAATTAAAGATTGAATCCAATTCTTAATAATTACAGTGCACCTGCCAACTAATAACGAATGAGCAATTACATCTAGTGGCAGAAGTCTCCTAACCTCATCTCAAGGGAGTTCAGAATGATTAAAAGTAGATCACAGCACATTTCAATGCCTCTCCAGGACTGAAGTTTTAAAAGTGAGAGCTGTAACAGGAATGTCCACCCCACATGATAAAACACCCCCCTTTGACTCCTTCCCTTGGCTTTTTCCAGCATGGGTCAAAGAATTTACCATTCCAGGCACTTACAGTGGTCAAGGTGAAGTTAAGAGAGCTGCCTTTGAATTTTTAACATGATTTCCATGGCCATTGTCTGAGTTTGGAGGTTTTTCCTGAGCACACACTGCAGCAGCAGCATCCCAGAAATTTAAATATATTCCAAATAAAACTACAGTGACAGTCTGTCCATTCTTTGGAGCCCAGAGCTCTGACACCAAAGCTGGGGTTCAGGAGACACAAATTCCAGGGAATTCAAACTGAGCAACTCCATTTCTGCCCCTGAGCCTCTGCAGCCGTGCAACAGCCAGTTAGCAAGTGCTCTGAATAGAGCTGGTACTATTTTACCAACAGAAATGCTGCCTGCACAGTTTCTTTTGTCTCCAATGAGAAGAAAAATCAGGTCTTTAATCTATGATCTTCAGCTCCCTTGTCTGGAAAAATCAGATCAATCCATTTTGTCCACCTCAAAGTCCCCTACAAAAGCAACTATTATCACTGTTTGCTTTAATGTTCCCATAGTCAGAGAACAGTCTATTAAGCATTTTCTCCACTGGTACCTATTGCTGCCCACATTTGAAATGTATCTGCCTATTTTACTAACATCTGACATATTTTTTGTGCTCATTGTTCCCTTATGGCAGATCAAGCTGCCCGCTGCAGTGCCAAGTTTTGGTTGAAGCCTCAGATAAATTCTGCCTCCAAAACCGATGCAATGAAAAGAGGGGGGGGGGAAAAAAGAGCAATTCTGGGTCTCTCATGTTGCTGAGGAAGTTCTGTGTCTTAGAATCAGGAGGCTGGAGATAATATCCTCCCTGCTATGTCCAGCAGCAGAACACATGTTGATTACAGAGGCCAAAGCCACGCTTTTCCTCTCTGAGAGACCTCCCATAGGCAAACCATTGCCTTTCCCAAAGTTCTGCCTGAAAAAAGTATGAAACCAACCTCATTTATAGGCATGCTCTGAAGCCTCAGTGTCAGAAAAGTGAGACTGTGGAATAAAAGGCACTCTAAGAAGGCGAAGCACTATTATTTATGGCGCTTCATGAAATACAAAAATATTCACACTGACGACTTCTGCATTTTAAGCAGATTTTTTTATAATCTAGGCTACCTCTGAAGCCTGAGAGTTGCTATTAGCATTTTGTTTCAAAACGTTCTCTGCTCTGCAAGGACATCCTGGCTGCTGGAGGTACACAGAGAAACCTTTGGGATGAGTCAGCTCCTGCAGCACCAGCTCCCAACCTGTCAGGTGGCTTTTTGCATGGCAAGAAAATCCCAAGCATCACTCCTGTACCTTGTCCAGAAACATGCTTCCATCTTTTAAAACCCAGCCAGGAAGTTTGGACAGCCTGGGGCTGTGGAAAGAAAGAAAGAAAAAAGAAAAATTATTTCAATATGAACTGAATTATTATCAGTGGCTAAGCACAGACTTTCTACTTGGTGTCATACAGGCAGAGAACACCACTCCTGTCTGAGGGAAGTAACAGGCCCAGTAAAACAGACAGACAGTTTCACTGTGGTTAAGTGTGCACCAAAATGACTTTTACAAATCATGATTATGACACTTATAAGTAAAAATAAATCAGAGGACAAGGCACACAGGGAGTTTTTAGTCATTTATGGTGAGGATTTTTAAAAGGCTCAGTGCTGCTGAGTTCCCTGTGGTGAAAGTGGATGAATAAACACAAGTTAGGGCAGCAACAAACTCTGTGCTCGAAACAACACAAAAGCACCATAAAACTGTTCTGGGACAGAGGACAGCAGACAAATATTCCCATCAGCAGTGGCAGGGAAAGACTGATGCTCTGGACTGAGTCATTTATAGACACAGGTTGGGATTTTATATCCACATAAACCATGGTTTTGTGCCTGGGTGTCACCCTGCAGACCCACACCAACAGCTGCACAGGACACAGGGGCAAGGAGGTTTTGCTGAGCCCCTTTTTTCATCGTTTCAAATGCTAATAAAGGAATTTAAAGGTAGACATTGTAATTCTGAGTTTACAGCAGTAATGGCTGCAGCATTTCTTGCTACCATAACTGAGAGACTTATTTCTATTTCACAGTGACATCTGATTTTTGTATGAGCCTACAACTTAGCTCAAAACACACTCTGTGCCCAGACTGAAGTTTATTTACACAAATAATTAAAAAAAATAATTGAGTGAACAAGAGAATTGAACACACCTTAAACCAAAACCTTCAACAACTTCAGATCTGGACACAGAACCTGGCTGCAATGCACTTTGCAAGTGCTGTGCACTAAGCTCTGCAGACAGGCATGTTTATATCCTAAAAACACTTTCAAATTCAACATCTTGAAAATAGGAAGTGATTCAAGGGCTCAGAGGAATGCTGCATTCAGACTAACAGCAATATAAAAGAACAAATTCTGACACCCCAGTAAGTCACAAGGAAGGGAAAAGGGGAAATCCATGAGTCAAGGAGTAAAGACAGGAGGTAAGAGGTGAGAGCAGAAGGATCTGTCATGGAGGAGCTGTGCCAGAAGGGCAATTCCCTTCTGAGGATAAAGAGCAAGGCTGAAGAAGTCTGATGACAGAAAAGATGAAGTGAGTAAATGTGCTGCCCAGTGGATTGTTCAAAAGCACAATTTAGGAGCAGTAATTTGGAGACTGAGTAGAATTGGTGCAGTGAGTCTAAAAGAGTTATGGAAAAAGCAAGAACAAACCACTCTGATATGCAACAACTCTGACAGATACAGGAGGATAGGACAGGAAGCTTGGCTGGAAGGGCCACCTGGAGGCTGCAGTCCAATGTCCCAACACCAGCACAAGGTCAGGTCAGGGCCTTGTGCCTTGCAAATCCCTGGGTCCATCTGTGGTTTCAGCAGCATGAGGCAGAGCAGAATAAACTTTACTTTTTTGTCCTATCCCCCGTAATTTAAACTAGCAAAAGTTTTGCTTCATTCATGATGACAGAGCACTAAACTTGTACTAAACTGGCATCCACTGAGGAGTGAAGAGTCAGGTGTGTCTTGTGTGTGGCTGGAAGCAGAACAAGCAACACAGGACAGAAAGGACTCTTTACCTTGGAGCCAAGAAGCAACACAGCTCCTCCTGCCATCGTTGTGACATTGTAATAGAGTGATTGATTAATCCAAACTAGCTGGAACTGTCCCATAAATAATGTGAGCAAGTGTGTCATGGCTAGACAGGGAAGGTTAAGAGCTTCCCACATGTTCATTTTACCGTTTTGCATTTGACTTTGGTGCAGGGGAGAAAACTCCAGTTGACAAACCTCCTTTAAAGTACAGGAGCACAAAGAGCTGGGCAGCTGCAGGTGCTCAGCACGTGCTAAATGGGCTGGTGGGAACAGGGAGTGCCATTTCCAGGGCAAGGGGAATTAAATGCCTTTGCACTGGCATTGCTTTGAGGAGCAAAGAATTCTAAAAAATACCCAGTGCCTTTAATGCCATAAACACTGCAGCACTTTCCTCTCTTATAGATTAGAGCACAGGCTCTCAAAATATTTGCTCAAGGAGGGTCCCATGCCAGGTATGACACAGGAGTGAGCTGTGTAGCAAAGATCCTCTGCAATATCACACATTTGGGCAGCTTTGCAGATCACATACTGAGATTTGCAGAATCCAAGGGGTTCATGGATCCTGCTGGAATCTCTGGCTAAAGACAGCAGACAGAAGCATGGCTGCTCTCAGGTTAAGGTCTCACTCACATCCATCTCCAATCAGCACATCTGGTTCTGAGAGGATGCAGCTGGACAGAACACCAGATCTGTGTTCAAATCCCTCAAGGCAGTCAGTCCTTCCTGTCACCTCACCTGCATCTGATGACAATGTCAGCTCTCTGTCCCCCCTGTTATGTTGGTAACACACATTTGAATTTCAGAGGTGTTTGGACATAATGGTAATGGACTCCTAATCTCAAATGGTACAACTATGAGTACTACAGAGATAAGGACTTTGCAGTGGCAGCCACATTCCTCCTCACATTTCTGACTTATTTCCACAACTCTGCAGGACACCTGGTTTGCAGAGGAGATCAATTACCTGCCCAAGTCCATGTGCTCAGGCCAATCCTTGCTCTAAGGGGTGTTCAGTCACCTCAGCGACAAGATTGATTGGATTTAAATCCAAATGTTTGCTCTGGTTCCACTGGGCCATCAGGGGTCAGATCTGACATCCTCTCTTATTGAGTTTGAGTCATTTTAGTGCCGACATTGTGGAGGGGCTTGGGGAGTTCCAGGTTGTGACCTGCAATTTGGCTGCTCATTCCCAGGGTCTGCTATCAGCACACAAAGCTGCCACATCCCAGGGGAAAGCTGATTCCTGCTGCTCTAAAGAACCTCTTAAGCCTTTGTTCAATCACCTCATTTTGCTACTTCTTCCTCTCTCAATTTCCTTTTTTTTAGGGGGAGGGTGGGAGAAAGCAAATGCAAGGTAATTCTGTTTGTAACCTGGATTTCCCAAATTTTCAAAATTTATTAGTGCACCAGTTGATGCAGTCAGCAGTTACACCACGGAATGGGACAAAAATTGGCTTTCACACTGATCCCTCTGAGGCATCTGTTGCCTCTCAGCAGATCCTGAACTCCAGGTTCTTGCAGAACAATGCCCACATTGTCTATTCCTTTCCTCTACTTTCCAAAAAATAACAAATCATAGGAAGTGCTGGACAAAGTGCTTGAACCTCACTAGGTCACTTAGGAAACTCCCTTTTCCAGTTGTATTTTCCCCCTCTCAATCAAGCCTTCCCTGAACCCAGAATGTTCCTCACTTATTTCCTTGTGGATCAAAGTTACTAAATGGCTTTTGAGAAAACTCCTACTCCTCCCTATCACTGAGAGTGACTCATTCCCACCTTTCCAACTGGTAATTTTTGTCATTAATTCAATTTACACAAAACATGCCAACCTAACTTACTACCCAAATTAGTCTAAAAACCTGGGGAAACACAACTTTGCAGCAGGGCACAGAAAGGAGACCTCAGGATTCTGTTCCAGACTCTATTTTTGTTTCTCTGCTGTTCCAATCCCATGCCCAGCTGCACTGCCCTTTTATTTATTTAACTTTTAAAAGGGAACAATTATGCCATGCAGGCAACTAACAAGGGCTGCTAAGTGCTATTTTTCTTTGCATTAGTCTGTGCTCTGAAGAACACAGAGAAGGTGGTGGTTAAACAGGACTTGCTGGGCTCCATCTCAGTTCCCCATTTATCTCATCTTGCATGGAGAAGCCAGAAAGATGACAGATATGTGACCTCACTTGTGCTGAGCAGTTGCAGCAATACTTTACTGAAGCTTAGAATAAATTATCCAGAAAAACCAATCAATAAATCCATAAAATGTCTTCCGTCCACTGAGCCAAAGGACGTTATTTTGATAAAGAGAATTTTTAAGTGAACAAAGTCTATTTATGATATCAGATGATGCTGTTCATTTGTACCCATCCCCTCCCTCCTTCCAATACACCATTTCAGGCACAGCACTCCAACTGCAACCCAAGAAGATGCAGACTAAGTGCTGACAGGCCACAGAACTCACCTCTGGACCAGAGGCAGGGGGAGGAAGTTGAGGGTGGATGTCATATCCAGCCCACAGTCCAGCATGATGGTGGTGGATTTGAACTTGAGCACGTTGCATGGCAAGGTGGGATGTCCTGACAGGCAGTACTGCAAGAAGAATGAGGAGGAGTCACTCAGGGCCTCTCAGAACATGGCCCTTCCCGGCGTGCTGGGCACTGCTGAAGCCACACCTTGAATGCTGTGTCAGCTCTGGGCCCCTCACTGACAGGACATTGAGAGGCTGGAGGGTGTCCAGGGAAGGGAACGGAGCTGGGGAAGGGGCTGGAGCACCAGGAAGGGCTGAGGGAGCTGGGAAAGGGGCTCAGCCTGGAGCAAAGGAGGCTCAGGGGGGACCTTGTGGCTCTGCACAACTCCCTGACAGGAGGGGACAGCCAGGGGGGTCAGGCTCTGCTCCCAGGGAACAGGGACAGGACAAGGGGAAACGGCCTCAAGCTGTGCCAGGGGAGGCTCAGGTTGGACATCAGGAGGAATTTCTGCATGGAAAGGGGGGACAGGCAGTGGGAGGGGCTGACCAGGGAGGTTTGGAGTCCCCATCCCTGGAGGTGTCCAAGGAATGATTGGAGGTGGCACTGAGTGACAAGGTGGGGTCAGGCACAGGTTGGACTCGATCG